AATATTGACAGAGAGCCAGAACCTGTGCTTGTGTATGAGGAGCAGACAGTGACTCTTTGCTCCACTAGTGTTTCCTTTGTTCTAGAACTATTGAAAAGCACATGGCACATATACTTGATGTCGGAACAGTAACATCTCTTGGAATTCTTGATTCCTAACCAGGTATGGCAGAGACTCTCTCACTTCCTTTTTAATAACATATTGGTTGATAACTCTCTCTCTCTCTCTCTCTCTCTCTCTCTCTCTCTCTCTCTCTCTCTCTCTCTCTCTCTGCCTCTCCCTCCCTCCCTCCATACCCCAGACATCTTTCCTCACTTCTATAGGATAAAATCATGGAGTCACAGACCACAACTATCACAAAGGAAGGAGTTTTCATGGCTTGTAATACTCCCAGTTTCTTCTTTAACTGAGTGGTCTATGTGTCTACCTGTGAAGACCAGGCTGGACAACTGGTGGTCCCAGGGCGAATTCCAAATCAATTTCTTCCCTTTGAGCTATTGGCCAGGGAGACCCTGTGAGGTTTACTATAGCGTAGTCACTGTTGGTACTGCTGTTGGATGGTAAATTTCTTGCTGGAGACTTCTGATGCCTTGGTTGAACACACAGAAAACAAGGTAGGACTAAGCTGAAGCCTTATTTCCTGTGGGTCAGTTTGTAGTACCGCGAGGTACCATACAGGCTGCTCAGATGAATGATCACCAGTGGTCCAGCGCAGGTATGAATCTCATACGCTACTCTATCAGCATGTGAGATAAGATATGCCTGTTGGTGTAATAGTGACATTTCTATTATAGACAAAACCAATTGTTTTCTGATTTGATTTAAGTCCTGCTCTGTTGAAGGGAGCCTATGTTTTACATACTTGAGGGTAAAACCTGTGTCTATTAAAATCATAATTGATACTGTTTTTGTTAAATAAATATAGCATATGTGTCAAATAATCTTCTAAATGTTTGTATTCATAATCGAAATCTCTACTGTTCTCTGTAATAACAAAAGGAAACTGCCTTTGGCAGTGGGTGATATTTCAGAAACTTCAGCTGCTAAGAATAAGTGTATTTTATTGTGGTCTATGCTCTTGCTGTAGGTTATACTGTTTGTGCAGCACAGTGACTCAGGGTATTTTACATATACATACTCTCTCCCTGTCCCCTTTCTCTCTCTTACACACACACACACACACACACACACACACACACACACACACACACAGAGGCTCTTGGAGCATAATGGAAAAGGGAGAACTTAAGAGCCAAAAGAGTGAGAAGTGGTGTAGCGAAGCTATTTCCACTGGAGACAACATGACTATTGGGTCATGAAGCTCAGTTGCTGTAATGGTGAAAAGACTAAGGCAACACCATGTTGTCCTGACTCCATGTTGTGTTAGCTTCAACACTTCTCAGCCCTCTATCCACCTCCCCATTAACAGCCACATCTGCCTTGACAACACATTTTGGGTTTTCCGTGACCCTGACCATGATCCAGATATATTAGTCAAAATGATCAATATTTGTACAAACTAATTATAAACAAAAATAAAAGATAACAGTATAAATCTTAATTAATGATCTTATGTCTGAAATGACTATGTTCTGCCAAGACAGAAGTTACAGTGTTACGTTGATCCTCTTTTAAGATTGATGCAATTGCGTCTGCGTCATCTTCTTACTTTAGAAATGCTATACTTGAGCTTCCCCATCAAGAATCTTTGTGAGGCACTAGCCCAAAACAAAGAGCTCTTATACTCTTAATTGGTTAAGTAAGTGTGGTGTTCTGTAATGTCACCTGTGAATCATTTCAGTGGTATAGAGAATATCCTGTCCTACATCATGGGAACAAATTCAACAAAGCAATACAATGACAGCTAAGCTCATAGTAATGACAATAGTGACGTTATTACCATTCCATAGCAGCAAGGGTGAGCATCACTAAGTTCTTACTTGGGATTTCATACACCATTCCCATCTGTCTGTCCCCAACTACACATGTCCTTGGAAGGTGCTGGAGTACATAGGAGACGGGAGTTTAATTAGGGAGTGGGGCTAGTGCTGCAGCTTTCGTGAGCTATCACACAAGCTAGGGCGAACCTTTCAGTGATATAGCTGTTTTTAAGTACCCTATGTTCCCACACATAACCCCAATAAATTCATTGGATCACCAATCTGGACTTGAATCTTTCCTTTATCTGTCTTGAGCCTATCGGGAACAAACAGTCATTTCTTTATATATCCCCAGAAAAAGTCATACAGCAGCTGGGTTCCTTGTCATTGTATACCGTATTCTCAGCTTTTCTAACTCATTCCCCTGCATGAAATTCCCTGTACTAAACATACTTGTTGTGAATGATATTTTCCTGGATACATTGTCTGTACAGCAACCATCCCATTTTCACTAGTACATAAGGGTCTATAATTAATGTTTTTCTCTGATTACATGTATATATTCTTGCCAACTTTCTGGGTCCCAAAATTAGTACCTTGCGTTTTTATATGTATAAAAATGCAACATATTAGGAAAGGCAGGGGGCAGCAATTTTCTCGCTCTTCAAGCTAGAAGAAGAAAAACAATGTCCCATTCTAGGATGTTTTTAAAGTATAGAAGGATGGACATATGGATATTTATACCTTTTTCCTTTATAATTTTTTGTTTTGGCCATAATACAACATTGATGACACTTGAATAATTTTTTTGTTTCATATTCCAAAGTAAAGATAAATAAACACAGGCTTTAAAGACAGGCTCTAATTAATCCCTGAAGATCCTATATTTAGTTTGAGCCAGAGATTTCTGCTGGTTTGTGTTAGTTCCTAAGCACTGAATACTAAACTGTCTTTGGATGCATGGCCATAGCCATCTGGAGTCTGCAGTGTTTTGTCTTTGGCATGACACTGATCTGTGCTACTTTAGAATCCATTAAGTTGTATCACTTACTCACCTGTAATCTGGCCTTGGATGTGCAATATTGTGCATTTCAAAGGATTCTGAAACCTGCTTTAGCAATCTGTCTCATCAGGAAGAATATCCCTGTGGTCCATGAATAGAAATAGAGGTAGTTGAAACACACACACACACACATACACACCTACACATACACACACACACACACCAGAAAATATAGCAGAAATTATGATACACCACTTCTAAGATGATTATATATATTTCCCTCTATAGTTACTCAGCTTTGGAGAAACCAGGTATTATACTATGTGAATAACCCTATGGAAAGACCCACGTGACAAGGAGCAAAAGCCAAAGTTTCATAGAAATTCACATGACTAGCTTGGAAGCAGTTTCTCTAACAGTTTCAGTTCCATATCCTTGGCAGCACCTTAACTGAAACACAAGAGACTTTGGAGCCATAATCATCTGTCTGTGATTTCACAAACTCTGCCCTTCAGGAAAGAGCTGTTATGCAACAGTAGATAACTATGTTAGTAAACTTCCACCACCCATGACTAAAATGTAGGAAAACCAACTTAAAAGAGGGGAGGTTTATTTTATTTTGCGATGGCAATGAGCTTCTGATCAAGGTCACTTGTATATTGCTTTTGGGACTATGGCAAGCAGGGTGTAGAAGAACAAGTTTGATCATTTCAGAGTGGCTTGAAATCAGAGAAAAAGAGAAATGGCCAGGGCTCTGATAGTCACTTCAGATATACATCCCTCGGTGACCCTCCTTCTAATAGGCCTCATCTCTGAAGAATTCTATCACTTCCCGACAACATTACAGGATGACAACCACATCTCACTCCTGCTCTTGGATTTTTCAGGTAGATACCACAACAGTGGTTAATACGCTTCTGCCCTGGCATGACAGAGGGACAATAGAAGATACTTGTTCTCTGGTAACATTGGAAATGTGTGTACTAGAAGTTAAGGCATCTACAGAAAAATCCAAAATAGGTTGCATGGAAGGATATGGCTAAGTTTTGTTTCTGCACCTAAGGAAGTGTAAATGAGTGCCATGCCCATTGTTCCTGTTGTCGTGAGTTATTACTCTCCCCCATTTTAAGTTCATAGTCTTCTAAGTATGCTGGAACCTGTGAGAACATTTTTGCTCTCTCCCCAACACGGCAGGAATGAATTCATATTGATATGCACCATAGTCAAGCCAAAGACAGCAATTTGTTCATCTTCTCCATCTTGATAGCTATGATTAAGCTGGTTTGCATCTGATTTCTGTCACTTTCCATGAAAGGTTCTAACTGGTAAATATTCTCTGCAGAATCAGCCTTGTGCCTCACCCCTTTAATTTTCTACTTTTATGGTTTCTGTCTCTCCAAGGTCAAGTTAATTGATTCTGAATCACATGTAAGGCCACACCTTTGTTTCCTTGGAGACGAAAATGTGTTTTGTTTATCTGTGTGTCTAAAAGAGCTCCTGTGGCATTGTCTCCCAGGGAAGACTTAACATGCTGAAAACAACATTTCAACTAAGTGATCTGCATTTGTTCGGGGTAAATTTCCTCTACAGTGTGTGGTGTTTGCTTCAAAACTTAGCTAATCAAACACTCTCTGGGTACTGAGCCAACCATCCAAGCTGAAGCAGCCTGAGCAGTCATTGTAAAAGCAACATAGTAAACAAATATCATACAAGAATCCAGCAAAAATTTCCAAGTTCTAAGATGCAATTTCCCTGTACTTGTTGCTCTCAGTGCAAAAGAGTCTTTAGGAACATACGCTTAATCCCAAAGTCTCCCTCCTCCCAATTAGGAACCGCAACAAATTGGGATCTTTCCCAGTGAGTCCCTCTCCCCACATAACAGACATTATTTCATTTTCTCTTAAGTACCCATTATTGCTTGAGTCTGAAATGTCTCCTATGGGTTAATGATTTGAATGCATAGTACCCAGCTTATGGTGATATCTTATTTTATTTTTACATTTATATTGAGAGAGAGAGAGAGAGATGAGAGAGAGAGAGAGAGAGAGAGAGAGAGAGAGAGAGAGAGAGAGATGGAGAGAGAACATGTCTCCAGACTATGGCTCACAAGTAGATACCTGTGGACAACTTGCAAAAGGAGTCAGTCTCTTCTTCAGTCAAGTGGGTCAAAGGATTGAAACTGTCAAGGATGGCCGCTGGCTCTTTTCCTGGATGAGCCATCTCATGAGCACTTCTATTATAAAAGATGCACAACATTTAGGAAGTAAGGCCTGGATGGTGGGAGCAGCTCATTAGGAATAGGGTTCTGAAGGTGACAACTGCCTGTTTCAGGTTCGTCTTTCTGGCTTCTTGGTCCACTGAGATGTAGAAGCAACTAAACGAAGGTGAGGTTTCATTGGTTCGTGGTTTGAGCAGGTTGTAGTCCCCCATAGCTAGAAAGGCATGGCAGATGTATGCTCACACCATCATGAGACTGAGCCACTCTGCCACGCCTTTCTAGCTATGGGGGAGCCTCACCTTCGTTTAGTTGCTTCTGGTCACAGCGACACAAAAGTAACTCACTAATATCCCAGTAGTTACAAAGGTGATATGTAGGTAACACATTTAAAAACTTCTAATCATTATACAAAATTAAAGAAATAAAATAAAATTCTACTCATAACTGTCCATGTCAAGTAATATCAAAATTTACCATTCCATAAAATGATTTGCTATCCTAATCTAAATTGACTGTGATAACAATGAATGATACCCACCCAATTTCCTTTTTATTTTTAATTAGCATATAAACTATAGGTTTCCTTTTGTGCATGATTAGTTTTAGCTGAGAAACCCTCCTCATCTCCCCCTTACTCCCTTTCCACACTTACACCCTCTATGGTTCTCCTTTGCTCTTCCCATCACAAGTGTTCTGGTACTCTCTACATCACTATTCTTAAAAGCTTTGCCCTCCATCTCATGTACACCTGTTGATAGGAATGTTTACTAGTACAACCACAGTGGGAGTCAATTTGGAAACTGAAAGTCACAAAGGACTGTACACCATAGCACAGAGGTGCACATGTTTCCATGATCATTACCGCTCTGTATTTCATAGGAGGGGAGGGGATCAGCTTAGATGCTTCCATCAACAGACAAACAGGTCTCTCATGTGAGGATCCAAGTTTCTAATTTTTGTACGTGGCCTATTTATGTAAGAATGAGTGTGTATACAAGTGCATTCCTTTAGTTAGCCTGGTGACCATTCACAAAAGTTGTCCCTCAAAAAAGAAGCCAAATAATTCTACTCATAACATTGTCTTTTACTTACATACATCCTGAGAAGCCAGGAATATAATGAAGTTCAGCAGAATTGGCTTAGATATTAGATGACCAAAATCAGAAGACAGACTTGAAGCCCAAGTTATTCCATGACCAAAATACACAATTCCTCTCTGCCCTATCTTTGTATCTGAAGCCCTGGGACAATTATACAACAACCTCAGATTCATTGCTGTAACGTTATCTTAATGATATTTGGAAAGCAATTAAAATGAATCTGTATATATAAAATAGATATCTATACTAATCATACTAAACTCTGATTTGCTTATCTCCAAACTCACTACAGAACACCAATTATGCTTGGTGGACTTTGGTATAATTCAAAAGAGGCCACTATCCTCTCACCTTGAGCAAGTTAGTGTTTTTCCACAGGTTATGTTAATGAAATTAAATTAACTTGATCCCAGGGACAAGTGTCCCGGCAAAACAGAACATAAATCCTCTTTGAGGAATGTTATTCCAGGTTGAAAATTACTCCTATATTTTGCAAATAATTTGTGACACACCACAAAAATATAACAAGTACTCAGAGACAAGAAAATAACCAAATGGCCAGAAAAACTTAAAATACTGGAGGTCTTAAACACAATTTTTAAAACACTCATTTTGTTCAAGGAAATAAGACTGAGGCATTTAGCAGTATAAACAAATAATAATAAAGGAGAAATTTGGTTGGATTCTGGTTAGTCAGAAAGAACCTCCCAGAAAAAAGCAAAAAGAAACCAAATGACAGAGACATTAGGATGAAAGACAAGAGACAAAGGATACTATATGAAAAGGAAAAACTGCGAATAAAAACTATTTGAAGAAATAATGATTTAAAAAGTTCTCTAAAATGTAGACATTAAGATTCAGAAATAATTGTCACCCTCAAACATAAAAAAAAAATAAGTTGTCATGGTAAAATGTTACAAATAAAGGAAAAGAAAGTATTTAACCAGAAAAGATTAAAAAAAAAAAAAGACAGACTGCCTTTAAAACAGTAAATATTAGAAAGATGCTTGACTTTTAAACACAGGTAATAGAAATAAAGAGATAAGAGTGTTAGAGTCAGTGAGGAGGCCTGGGCAACCTATGGGGCCCTGGGCAGTGGATCAGTGTTTATCCCTGGAATACAAACAGATATTGTGTGCCCATAGCACAAAGAGGGATGCTCTCTCAGCCTGGACTCTTAGGGGAGTGCCTGGACCCTGCCCTGAGTGAAATGACAGATTCTAGATATCCCCTATGTGGAAGGAAGTGGCGATAGGGTGGGAGGCTGGGGGGGGAGGGGACGGTGGGAGGTGCAGGAAGAGGGAAGGGAGAGGGAACTGGGATTTACATGTGAAGCATGTGGCTAATTTAAATGTGTGTTATAGTGGCAATAATGCCAAAAGGTTTAAAGTGTAAACATTTCTAACATAAGTTGAATACATTATTGACACTCATATTTTAAATATGAATGAAAGACAGGAAGGGACAATAATGGCCTCAAATGTTTAAAAGGCTAAAAGAAATCTTCCATTTCTCATGAAGACAGTAAGATACCAACGGGCAGAGAGACCCAACAGCCTTGGAGAAAACAGAAACCTGAGAGACTCAGAGGAAACAAACAATGAAATCTTGAAATTCACAGGCAAATGGATGGAACTAGAAGAAACCATCCTGAGTGAGGTAACACAGTCACAGAAAAACAAGCATGAGCCTTCATCCAGTATCTGATGCAGGTATCTCCAGCTAAGCTCAAGCAGAACTCCAGGAATGCAGTTGTAGAGAGGGAGGAAGGATGAACAAAGGAGCCAAGACCATGCTGGGTAAACCCACAGAAACAGCTGACCTGAGAAAGTGGGTGCACAAAGAACCCAGTCGTAAAACTGGGGAACCAGCATTGGACTGAACCAAGCCTTCTGAATGTGGGTTTCAGTTAGGAGGCCTGGGCAGTCTATGGAACCTCTGACAGTGAAACCAGTATTTATCCCTAGTGCACAAATGGATTTTGGGAGCCCATTCCCCATGAAGGGATACTCTTTTAGCCTAGATGCATGGGAGAGGGCCAATGATATGACAGACTTTGATGATCCCCCATGGAAGGCCTCACCCTCTCTGGGGAGTGGATGGGAAATTGGATGGGGGGTCAGTGGGGGTACATGGGAGGATGGAAGGGAGAGGGAACTGGGACTGACATGTAAAATAAGATTGTTTCTAAACTAAATTTAAAAAATACCAACTGACCTGTGGTCCTGAGAACCAAGGTTACAGGTAATAATTCTGCAGAGGAATGTGAGGGAGTAAATAGTTGAAGTTCATTGTTCGCAAATGGGATCTGTAGTAACCATAGAAATAAGGTAGACCCTTAAATGAGGGCCGTGCCATTCCATTGCTTGGGGTCCCATACTAAGCAAAATGGAGAAAGCAACGCTAGGTACAAGCTTTCAAACTCTCTCTACTCCTCAACTAGGAACACAATGTGACCAGCTGTCCTAGGTTCTGGTTGCTGAGTTCCCTGGCAGGAACTGTGAGGCAAATGAACCCTTTCTTTGATGAGGGAGTCAATGCAACAGAGAAATTAATATATTTATTAACCGGATAGAACTTACACACAAGCTGGGAAGATGAGAGGCGTGGACTCACCCCTACATTTCTTTTTAATTTTTTTCTAGTTATTTTGTCACAGCCAAAAGAAAAGTAACTAATACAGTGAGTAAAGAAAAATGGAATAATAAATTTTAGTAAGATCATGATATAAGAAGATTGGGCAAGGCAGGAAAGGGACACACAAAACAGGAAGGACAAATGAGACCCACAAGTGAGACACAGAGCAACTCCTATTGTCTAACTCTAGTTACCTAGGATTACAAAAGCAGGCGAGTCTTAACCATAATGCAAGAGGCTCCATATTTAGGAAGTAACATAAAAACAAACAAAGAAAGGATTTCCACAGACAGTAAGGAGAGGCATCATATGAGGGAGGCAGAGACACTACTGAGTGGAAGGGATCTGAAGGAGCTTTGCAGCATCTTGAGAGTGTTCTACCTGCTTGGCTAATCTGAGAGGCTTTTTAACGCCCACTGATTTGTTTAGCTATGCCCCATTTCATATATGTCTTTATTTTATTCTAGCCCATGAAAGACAGTAAGAGAATAAGGCAGATGTAATTGTGTGTGTGTCTATAGACTAATCTTCAGAAACACAGTTAAATATGATCTCGTGCAGAACAGCAGACAGAATGTGCTCTTCTTTGTGTTTTTAAGCTCACACACTCCTACTGTGATTATATCATGCAGACATTTTTAAGGATATATAATACATTTAATCTAACTCACTAACTTGGAGCAGACACTAGAACTCTGGTCTCTATAGCTAAAAAGAATTAATTTGCATCTTTATACTTTTATTGCTAAGATTACTTTGGAATTGTATTTTAACAATAAGAACGACCTTTACTCATCTATAAATTAACTATGAAAACAAAATAATATTACCAATAGATGAAATCATTGTTTTCAAACAAACAATCACATTTTTTAAACAAGATTTTTTAGCGAGAGAAGTAAATTCCCTTTCATTGTAGCTTCTTTCTAGACTGTTGGCTGAAGGCTTTGCATCTGCATTACAATGGAGTGCTATTAATAATAGGAAGCAAATTTAGGTGAACCAAATGACTGAATTCAAGAGTCAGCTATAGACTGGGAAATTATACATTAGGCTCTTAGTAACGTGGACAGTAGATTGCATCAGAATCCAATAATATGGCTGAGCTGTGCTGTCAGAGCAATTAGAACAAAGCCTGTGTGTGCTTCTGGAATTCAGCAGTCTGGGATAACAGCACACACAAGGTGTGAAGACAGAGTGCATGGAATCTGAGACAACATCACAGATTAGACACGTGCCTCTACTCGTTTTCTCATCTCTTTAACTCAATAAACACTT